ATATACTAGCAAGTTTAAACTGTAAGTATTGATTTTTTATGCTTTATTTATATTGTAGATAAGTATTTATTTAATGATCTGCTTGTTCATTTTATAATTAAAAATTGACAAATAATTTTCTCTTCTTATAAAAATATTCATTTTAGTCATTCATATCTGTTTATAAGTGAAACACATTATTTTTATACGATCAATGGACCTTGATTACTTTTTAAACATCTGTACTATATACGTTTGTATGTATGTTTTACATTTGTATTCTTTCCCTTTTTTATGCTCCCCGAAAAATTTCGGGGGAGCATATAGTCGGCGCCTTGTCCGTCTGTCTGTCCGTCCGTTGTCTTGTCCGGAGCATAACTTGAAAACCCTTGGAGATAATTTGTTGAAACTTCATAAAGTGGTACAGGGCATTGAGGGGGAGTGCAGTGTCAAAGAACCATAACTCTATTTTGCCCGGTTTTTGAATTATCTCCCCTTATAGAAAAATCTTGTCCGGGGCATAACTCTAAAACTATAAGAATATCAACATGAAACTTTGTAAGTGAATAGATCTCAATGGGTAGATGTGCAGTGCATAAGAACAATAACTCTTTTTGTCCTAATTTTTGGAGTTATTGCCCTTTGTTTATTTTAACACTTTGAAATTTGTCCGGAACATTACTCAAAAAGTATAAGAGATATCAAGATGAAACATTGTAGGTAGATAGATCTCATTGAGTAGAGGTGCAGTGCAAAAGAACCATAACTCTGTTAAGCCTCATTTTTGAATTATTTCCCCTTTTAGAAAAATCTTGTCCAGGACATAGCTGTAAAACTGTAAGAGATATCAACATGAAACTTTGTAGGTAGATATATCTCAATGGGTAGATGTGCAGTGCACAAGAATCATAACTCTGCCTTGCCTAATTCTGGAGTTATTGCCCTTTGTTTATTTTTACTTTTTGAAATTGTCCGGGACATAACTCGGAAATCATAAGAGATATCATCAAGAAACTTTGTAGGTTGATAGATCACATTGATTAGAAGTGCAGTGCAAAGAACAGTAACCCTGCCTTGCCTAATTTTAGAATTATTGCACTTTGAACTTTTTCCAGGGACATAACTCTGAAACTACAAGAGGTGTACTTTCTGTGTCCAAAACCTATTTGGGGAGCATCACCCGGCTCAAACCGGGTTCTTGTTTCTTCAACGTGAAAGCCTTTTGGTATAGTATATATCATTAAAAAACAACAAGACATTTGTTAATTTGCAGATAAATCAGCATTTTTATATAATATTTTACACGCCTTTTACGTAAATTAAGCATGCCAAGTCGAACTTGTATTTACAATAATGTATAAATACTCAACCATAATGGTCACGAAAAATACGTTGATTTTCCTTCTTAGATATAAGAGATGCCGGGAAATCGCATTAAGAAAAGTCGGGATCGTATAAGATATATATATCCCGGGAAATTAACCAATACCATTATGCTTTCAGAAAAGCCGGAATCTATTTAACAGTACAGAGATCCCGGGAATTGACCACCTGTCATACACGTCAAAAGGTTTTTTTGTTATCAATTATGTTAAGTTTATCTTATGATCTTTTCTAAAAATAATATTTAAATACATTAGCATAAAATTTAGCCAATTATTATATTAACAAAAACTTTTCCAATTATACTATAATTACAAGTACTGTGATTTCCGCATTTTAAGTTTGTTAATAAATAGCTCTAAATATATTTAAATCTTAAGTTATATTCATTAACCATTCATAACATACAATAAAAAATAATTAGTTAACGTTAAATCGCCTTTCATTACGACAATAATCAACACAAATACATTATATTAGTTTTCCCTATATATCTAATACAATCCCGGATCCCGGGATTTTTCCCCCACCTTTATCCTGCCACCCCTGTGTACTTATAAATTAAGATTTCCCATTCTCGATCATATTTGAATGCCGGATTCCGATGATTGCCGATAAAAGGTCATTGAATATTCAAATGTCTCAGGCCAATATTGACCAACAATATATTTCAATAATGAAAAGGTCAGAGTTGAGAAGCACGGCGGAAAATGCCGAATTTTCCCGCTTCACAGATTACAGACCACGTGATCATTTGAGCTAACAGGTCATTTTTGGTGGGAAACTCGCGCCGAGACGACGTTCTTTGTTAAAAGAGTAAGTGTGATGATATTTTACAATTTTTGTATTTGATCTTTATGTATGCTATTTTTTCATGTACTCGCGATTTATAAAATATCTTTAAATATGTATGTTATTCCTGTAGTTAGTTATGAGTTGAGTTGAAGTGATTGTTGATGGTTGTTGTTATAAAATGTGATTCTGGCCAGGCTTCGTGATGTGCCCGCGGTTTTTTTATATATTCGCGATTTATAAAAAATCTTTATATAAGTTATCCCTGTACCCCCTGTAGTTGGTTATGTGATTGTTGATGGTTGTTATAAAATGTGATTTGGCCAGACTACGTGATGCGCCCGCGGTTTTCTTTTTATATACTCGCGATTTTTAAAAAAAATCTTTATATAATTATGTTATCCCTGTAGTTAGTAATCTGTTGAGTAGAAGTTATTGTTGATGATTGTTATAAAATGTGATTTTGGCCAGACTACGTGATGCGCCGCGGTTTTTTGATATACTCGCGATTTATATAAAAAAAAATTATATATGTTATTCGTGTTGAGTTTGAGTAGAAGTTAGTGTTGATGGCTGTTGTTATAAAATGTGATTCTGGCCAGGCTACGTGATGCGCCCGCGGTTTTTTGATATACTCTCGAGTTATAAAAAATCTTTATATATATGTTATTCCAGTAGTTAGTTATGAGTTGAGTTGAAGTTATTGTTGATGGTTGTTATAAAATGTGATTTTGGCCAGACTACGTGATGCGCCGCGGTTTTTTGATATACTCGCGATTTATATATAAAAAAAAGTATATATGTTATTCGTGTTGAGTTGAAGTTATTGTTGATGGTTGTTGTTATAAAATGTGATTCTGGCCAGGCTACGTGATGCGCCCGCGGTTTTTTGATATACTCTCGATTTATAAAAAATCTTTATATATGTTATTCCAGTAGTTAGTTATGAGTTGAGTTGAAGTTATTGTTGATGGTTGTTATAAAATGTGATTTTGGCCAGACTACGTGATGCGCCCGCGTTTTTTTGATATACTCACGATTTACAAAAAAATCTTTATATAAGTTATCCCTGAACCCCTGTAGATATGTTTTGAGTTGAAGTTATTGTTGATGGTTGTTGTAATAAAATGTGATTCTGGCCAGGCTACGTGATCCGCCCGGGTTTTTTTTTATATACTCGCGATTTATAAAAAAATCTTTATGTAAGTTATCATTGTAGTTAGTATTGTGTTGAGTATAAGTGAATGTTGATGGTTGTTATAAAATGTGATTCTGGCCAGGCTACGTGATGTGCCCGCGGTTTTTCGATATACTCGCGATTTATAAAAAACCTTTATGTAAATTATCCCTGTACCCCCTGTAGTTGGTTATGTGTTGAGTTGAAGTTATTGTTGATGGTTGTTATAAAATGTGATTTTGGCCAGACTACGTGATGCGCCGCGGTTTTTTGATATACTCGCGATTTATATTAAAAAAAATTGTATATGTTATTCCTGTAGTTAGTATTGTGTTGAGTTGAAGTGATTGTTGATGGTTGTTATAAAATGTGATTCTGGCCAGGCTACGTGATGTGCCCGCGGTTTTTTGATATACTCGCGATTTATAAAAAATCTTTATGTAAGTTATCCCTGTACCCCCTGTAGTTGGTTATGTGTTGAGTTGAAGTTATTGTTGATGGTTGTTATAAAATGTGATTTTGGCCAGACTACGTGATGCGCCCGCGGTTTTTTGATATACTCACGATTTATAAAAAAATCTTTATATACGTTATCCCTGAACTCCTGTTGTTAGGTTTTGAGTTGAAGTTATTGTTGATGGTTGTTGTAATAAAATGCGATTTGGTCAGGCTACGTGATCCGCCCGGTTTTTTTTATATACTCGCGATTTATAAAAAATCTTTATGTAAGTTATCCCTGTAGTTAGTAATGTGTTGAGTTGAAGTTATTGTTGATGGTTGTTATAAAATGTGATTCTGGCCAGGCTACGTACGTGATGCGCCCGCGGTTTTTTGATATACTTATACTCGCGTATTGTATTTGATATGTATTTGTATCTTTTTCACCAATAAAATAATCATATGTTTTTTTTATTTTTGTTGTATGCTTCCTACCTCCTTTAGACCTCTTGTTTCATGTTTAATCTACTCTTTTTATGCTATGACTTGTGTTTTTAGAATTTGTGTACTATGATTATGTTTGATATGTTTAATTATGTATTTGTTTGCTCTAATACCTATATTTTTGTATTGCAGATCTATTTGCCAGGTTCTTTAAATGTTTTTTTTTTTGCCTATATTCTAATGTTTTGTGTTTTTTGTGTTTTTGGAAACCTCCTGGGAAGAAGATGTTGGTGTTCTAGTTCTACATTGTGGCGGAGACGTGAGGATGTGGATAACTGTGTATCATTGGTTGGAAACTGGTTGGATGGAGTAATTAGGTATTTTACAATATTATACTTTAAGGATTTTTTTGTAACCGTTTATTTGTTCCTGCATAGTATCAATTATTTACAAGATGAAAAAATTCAGCTAGTTCAACAAACAGTTGATAGGAATTGTCTATTGGAGATAGTCATTTAGCTAGCTAGACTGGAAGGTAAGTGGTTCTACTAGGCATGAACTTGCCCCACCCTGAAACTCTTTTGACGGCCTTTATCTGCCATATAATAAAGCATGTGTCATCATATGATATAAAACAACCAATGAAATATTGATAATTACCTGCTTATTTGAAAAGTAATTTGTAAAGACATGGTAAATATTAACATTATAAGATTAGAATGTTATTTTGTAAACACATGGGTGACTAGGAAAATAATAGGTATTGGTACATTTTCTTTGATTCTTTTTATTCTGTTTTACTTGTGTGTCTTCTTTTAAGCCTTGTGAATTAGAATGTTATTTTGTAAACCCTGGTGATTTTTCAGACCATGGAGGAGTGATGAAGTGGAAGTGGACAAGACTATCAGTTCTTCGAGAGTTCCAGTGCCTATATACTCGCAAGAAGGATATGGTATGGAATAGCTTAAAGTACATCTATGTGCTGGCAGATTTGTACAACAAGAAGTTGTTCCAGTGTGAGGAGAGATGCTTGTCATAAGGTAAACCTTGCTCTTTGATGCTATAGTAAATCATAATAAAGATAATGAATCATAATAAAATCAAAATACAAGTTTGGTTGAAATCCTGTGCAATTTGAGCCAAATGAATATAGAGGTGAGTATCCTGTCGGACATTTTGGAGACTTGGGTTCCATTCCCTGTCTATGTTTAATTACAAAGTACAATTTTGTTATATTACTTATGAATAAAGTATACATTTGATAGACATTGTCAGTTGTAGTTGTGTAACAGGCTAACTTTTGGTATGTTGGTGGTTCTGTAACTTTTTGTGTTGCCTCTACAGAGTAATGGTGACATATAGGGATCACTTCTCCGTCGTCTGTCTGTCCGTGCAAAACACATGGGTGACTAGGAAAATAATAGGTATTGGTACATTTTCTTTGATTCTTTTTATTCTGTTTTACTTGTGTGTCTTCTTTTAAGCCTTGTGAATTAGAATGTTATTTTGTAAACCCTGGTATTTTTCAGACCATGGATGAGTGATGAAGTGGAAGTGGACAAGACTATCAGTTCTTCGAGAGTTCCAGTGCCTATATACTCGCAAGAAGGATATGGTATGGAATAGCTTAAAGTACATCTATGTGCTGGCAGATTTGTACAACAAGAAGTTGTTCCAGTGTGAGGAGAGATGCTTGTCATAAGGTAAACCTTGCTCTTTGATGCTATAGTAAATCATAATAAAGATAATGAATCATAATAAAATCAAAATACAAGTTTGGTTGAAATCCTGTGCAATTTGAGCCAAATGAATATAGAGGTGAGTATCCTGTCGGACATTTTGGAGACTACGGTTCCATTCCCTGTCTATGTTTACTTACAAAGTACAATTTTGTTATATTACTTATGAATAAAGTATACATTTGATAGGCATTGTCAGTTGTAGTTGTCTAACAGGCTAACTTTTGGTATGTTGGTGGTTCTGTAACTTTTTGTGTTGCCTCTACAGAGTAGTGGTGACATATAGGGATCATTTTTCCGTCGTCTGTCTGTCCGTGCAAAACACATGGGTGACTAGGAAAACATTAGGTTTTGTTACATTTTCTTTGATTCTTTTCATTCTGTTTTACTTGTGTGTCTTCTTTTAAGCCTTGTGAATTAGAATGTTATTTTGTAAACCCTGGTGATTTTTCAGACCATGGAGGAGTGATGAAGTGGAAGTGGACAAGACTATCAGTTCTTCGAGAGTTCCAGTGCCTATATACTCGCAAGAAGGATATGGTATGGAATAGCTTAAAGTACATCTATGTGCTGGCAGATTTGTACAACAAGAAGTTGTTCCAGTGTGAGGAGAGATGCTTGTCATAAGGTAAACCTTGCTCTTTGATGCTATAGTAAACCATAATAAAGATAATGAATCATAATAAAATCAAAATACAAGTTTGGTTGAAATCCTGTGCAATTTGAGCCAAATGAATATAGAGGTGAGTATCCTGTCGGACATTTTGGAGACTAGGGTTCCATTCCCTGTCTATGTTGACTTACAAAGTACAATTTTGTTATATTACTTATGAATAAAGTATACATTTGATAGGCATTGTCAGTTGTAGTTGTCTAACAGGCTAACTTTTGGTATGTTGGTGGTTCTGTAACTTTTTGTGTTGCCTCTACAGAGTAGTGGTGACATATAGGGATCACTTCTCCGTCGTCTGTCTGTCCGTGCAAAACACATGGGTGACTAGGAAAATAATAGGTATTGGTACATTTTCTTTGATTCTTTTTATTCTGTTTTACTTGTGTGTCTTCTTTTAAGCCTTGTGAATTAGAATGTTATTTTGTAAACCCTGGTGATTTTTCAGACCATGGAGGAGTGAAGAAGTGGAAGTGGACAAGACTATCAGTTCTTCGAGAGTTCCAGTGCCTATATACTCGCAAGAAGGATATGGTATGGAATAGCTTAAAGTACATCTATGTGCTGGCAGATTTGTACAACAAAAAGTTGTTCCAGTGTGAGGAGAGATGCTTGTCATAAGGTAAACCTTGCTCTTTGATGCTATAGTAAATCATAATAAAGATAATGAATCATAATAAAATCAAAATACAAGTTTGGTTGAAATCCTGTGCAATTTGAGCCAAATGAATACAGAGGTGAGTATCCTGTTCGACATTTTGGAGACTATTCCATTCCTTGTCTATGTTTACTTACAAAATACAATTTTGTTATATTGCTTATGAATAAAGTATACATTTGATAGGCATTGTCAGTTGTAGTTGTCTAACAGGCTAACTTTTGGTATGTTGGTGGTTCTGTAACTTTTTGTGTTGCCTCTACAGAGTAGTGGTGACATATAGGGATCACTTCTCCGTCGTCTGTCTGTCCGTGCAAAACACATGGGTGACTAGGAAAATAATAGGTATTGGTACATTTTCTTTGATTCTTTTTATTCTGTTTTACTTGTGTGTCTTCTTTTAAGCCTTGTGAATTAGAATGTTATTTTGTAAACCCTGGTGATTTTTCAGACCATGGAGGAGTGATGAAGTGGAAGTGGACAAGACTATCAGTTCTTCGAGAGTTCCAGTGCCTTTATACTCGCAAGAAGGATATGGTATGGAATAGCTTAAAGTACATCTATGTGCTGGCAGATTTGTACAACAAGAAGTTGTTCCAGTATGAGGAGAGATGCTTGTCATAAGGTAAACCTTGCTCTTTGATGCTATAGTAAATCATAATAAAGATAATGAATCATAATAAAATCAAAATACAAGTTTGGTTGAAATCCTGTGCAATTTGAGCCAAATGAATATAGAGGTGAGTATCCTGTCGGACATTTTGGAGACTAGGGTTCCATTCCCTGTCTATGTTTACTTACAAAGTACAATTTTGTTATATTACTTATGAATAAAGTATACATTTGATAGGCATTGTCAGTTGTAGTTGTCTAACAGGCTAACTTTTGGTATGTTGGTGGTTCTGTAACTTTTTGTGTTGCCTCTACAGAGTAGTGGTGACATATAGGGATCACTTCTCCGTCGTCTGTCTGTCCGTGCAAAACACATGGGTGACTAGGAAAGTAATAGGTATTGGTACATTTTCTTTGATTGTTTTTTGTTTGTTTTACTTGTGTGTCTTCTTTTAAGCCTTGTGTGACTAAAAATGAATGAAAAGATCAAAGGAAAAGTCATGTAAGTACTTCCGACTGTTTGTCCGGACTACTCAAAAACTACTAGTGCAATTTCATCTAAACTTTACAAGAAAGATCAGTTACAAGTCTAGTTGTGCATCTTGTCATCATTTTTGGGTTCAATCATATTTGTCAGAGAAATGGCCCTTCAATGATTTTAATTTTTAAATTGACTATACAAAGTATATAGAGAACTGTCCTACTCGCCCCGGAGTCCGCATTAAAGTTTTGGTGCATTAAAATATTTTTTAATGGATGAAACTCATGGTTAACTTTTTGCTTGTGAGCTGGTATCTCCCTAACTATTGAAAGGAATGGAATGAAACTTAATATACATTTTCACTGTGATTTTTTAACATGATTGGCACAGGTCCCATAACTCTGATTTACTTATTTACATATTTATGCCCCTTTTTATACTCAATGAAACATCCTTGTGACAACTCTATCGAATAGTCGAGCATTGCTGTCCTCCAACAGCTCTTGTTGAACTTGGAAAATTTAATTGAAAATTGTTATATTTTTTTAAGTACTTGTATTATTTTTGTTATTATAAATGATATCTACTCTAGACTTAGGATAATTGTCCTTTGTCATTACTCACATCATGCATGACAAGTTCCATCAGGGATTTTTTCCAGGATTTTGGAAACATGACCCATACCTATGGCATTGGGAATTTCTGCGTTGTTTTGTTAAAAATTGGGAAAAAATGCATGACTGAAATTTTGCAGTGTTTAAATGAATGCAAACAATCCATGTCTAGGATGGCAGCTATAAATAAGCCAAAAAAATCCCTGTAAATCATTACTATAGCATCCTTATTTCAAGAGTAATAAACAAAATAATCGGTAAAATCATTAACCATCTTAAAATAATGCTGACGATCATCCTTGATCAATGCTATGTTTTGACAGCTGTGCAATACCGGATAAACAATGGACCACCAAGTCAACTAATAATCAAATGGCCCCTCGCTAATTTGAATAAATTCCATTGCACAGCGTGATATACCGTTCTCCTAGATTTTATTGGTTAATTTACATTTACACAAAAAAATGACATTTATCCATCCAAAAACTTTCTTTAACCCATTCAGTTTCACACTGTATATATAGGCGATCAATATAAACACCTTTTCTGACCGTTGTAGGTAGCTTCATATACATTATTTCAAGCCTTACATGATTTCCCTGAACATGCCTTTCAACGGCGTCAAATTAAAACACAAATTCCAATTTAATTATTCATATAAATCACACAGGAAGACTGATATTGTAAAAATAAAATATTGGCGAGGTATATTCCATTTTCAGAAAATGGGGTTACTATAAAAAGATTTTGGAAAAACCTGTATAGTACGCCGCCGACCTCTAAAACTAACTTTCACATGGAATTAAATATGTTTTCAGAATATGGATGGTTGTGTAACAGTGGTGAAGTGTTTGTTGATCGAGACTATCAATTCTTCATCTGTGCTGGTAGATTTGTACATTTGGAAGTTGTTTTTGTGTGGAAAGAGATGGACACGGTCAGTATGCAATTTGATAGGAATTATCTATATTAGCTAGTCTATAACTAGGTAGACTAGAATATCTGTGGTTCTACCCTAAATTTTACCTGCCCTTGTCTGTCCATTTTGGGGCATATTTTTTCTGCCAATAAAGGTGGAGAGTCGCCATATGACTTGAGAACCAACAAAAAAAATGTGATTTGTTTAGTTAAAAAGACTTTGTTCAACATATAATATATGATTGGAATGTTGTTTTGTTAACCCCAGTGAAATTTCAGTTAATCTTAAGACCAAGGAGGCAGATTTGCAAGAATGGCATGAAACATGGTGATGATGGATGGACGTGTGGATCGTTAAAGCCCAACAGTGACAGAGTATTGGAGTACTTGACGTGCATTGTGAAAGTTGATCGAGACTATCAATTCTTCGAGAGTCCCAGTGCCTATATACTCGCAAGAAGGATATGGTATGAAATACAGCTTGGTACACATCTGTGCTGGTAGATTTGTACATTTGGAAGTTGTTTCAGTGTGGAGAGAGATGGACACGGTGTATTGTACGGTAAACCTTGCTCTTTGATTTCATTGGTAAATCTATTTTAGCTAGTCTACAACTAGGTAAAGCTAGTCTATAACTAGGTAAAGCTGGAACGTCGCCATATGACCTATACTGTGTCGGAACGTCGCCATATGACCTATACTGTGTCGGAACGTCGCCATATGACCTATACTGTGTCGGTGTGACGTAAAGCCCATTCAAACAAACAAACAAAACCTGCCCTTGTCTGTCCATTTTGGGGAATATTTTTTCTGCCAATAAAGGTGGAGAGTCGCCATATGACTTGAGAACCAACAAAAAAAATGTGATTTGTTTAGTTAAAAAGACTTTGTTCAACATATAATATATGATTGGAATGTTGTTTTGTTAACCCCAGTGAAATTTCAGTTAATCTTAAGACCAAGGAGGCAGATTTGCAAGAATGGCATGAAACATGGTGATGATGGATGGACGTGTGGATCGTTAAAGCCCAACAGTGACAGAGTATTGGAGTACTTGACGTGCATTGTGAAAGTTGATCGAGACTATCAATTCTTCGAGAGTCCCAGTGCCCATATACTCGCAAGAAGGATATGGTATGAAATACAGCTTGGTACACATCTGTGCTGGTAGATTTGTACATTTGGAAGTTGTTTCAGTGTGGAGAGAGATGGACACGGTGTATTGTACGGTAAACCTTGCTCTTTGATTTCATTTAGCTAGTCTACAACTAGGTAAAGCTAGTCTATAACTAGGTAAAGCTGGAACGTCGCCATATGACCTATACTGTGTCGGAACGTCGCCATATGACCTATACTGTGTCGGAACGTCGCCATATGACCTATACTGTGTCGGTGTGACGTAAAGCCCATTCAAACAAACAAACAAAACCTGCCCTTGTCTGTCCGTTTTGGGAAATATTTTTTCTGCCAATAAAGGTGGGGAGATGTCATATGACTTAAGAACCAACAAAACAAATGTGATTTGTTTAGTTAAAAAGACTTTGTTCAACATATAATATATGATTGGAATGTTGTTTTGTTAACCCCAGTGAAATTTCAGTTAATCTTAAGACCAAGGAGGCAGATTTGCAAGAATGGCATGAAACATGGTGATGATGGATGGACGTGTGGATCGTTAAAGCCCAACAGTGACAGAGTATTGGAGTACTTGACGTGCATTGTGAAAGTTGATCGAGACTATCAATTCTTCGAGAGTCCCAGTGCCTATATACTCGCAAGAAGGATATGGTATGAAATACAGCTTGGTACACATCTGTGCTGGTAGATTTGTACATTTGGAAGTTGTTTCAGTGTGGAGAGAGATGGACACTGTGTATTGTACGGTAAACCTTGCTCTTTGATTTCATTGGTAAATCTATTTTAGCTAGTCTACAACTAGGTGAAGCTAGTCTATAACTAGGTAAAGCTGGAACGTCGCCATATGACCTATACTGTGTCGGAACGTCGCCATATGACCTACACTGTGTCGGTGTGACGTAAAGCACATTCAAACAAACAAACAAAACCTGCCCTTTGTCTGTCCATTTTTGGGAATATTTTTTCTGCCAATAAAGGTGGAGAGATGTCATATGACTTAAGAAGCACTTTAACAAATGTGATTTGTTGACAAATGAGATTGGAATGTTGTTTTGTTAACCCCAGTGAACTTTCAGTTAATCTTAAGACCAAAGAATGGCATGAAACATGGTGTTGATGGATGGATGTGTGATGAGATTGGAATGTTGTTTCGTTAAGGCAAGGCAAGTACAGAACAGAAAGGTAAAATTATTAAAAAGATGTTATATTGTATTTATAATAGGGGAATGATATTATGAACAACATACTATGTTAGATGAAATTGAAATTGTGTATATGAAAGTTGAGAGTAAACATTATTGAAAGTAACATTGTGAATTGTGAAATGATCCCTGGTGGATGACATGAAGTCATTAATGAAAACTGGACATGGAAGTTTACTGCAGTGAAAATTAGTGAAAAATGAAATGGAAAGTATCTGTTGAAATATGAAAGAAATGAATTGAATCAGCAATAGCAAAATAGGAAAAGTGAAAGTGAAAAATGAATGAAAATAAATTGAAAAAGGAAGGAATGCATGAAAATTTGAATTTTCAAAAAATTTGAGAACAATAATGTAAATAATATAGATATTTATGAAGAGTTGAATGAAGAAATTTGAAAGTGAAAATGGAAAGATAGTGAAAAATGGAAAGTATCTGTTGAAATATGAATGAAATATAAATGAAGATCACAAGAGATCAGCAATAACAAAAGGAAATGTGAAAGTGAAAAATGAATGAAAATAAATTGAAAAAGGAAGGAATGCATGGAAATTTGAATTTTCAAAAAATTGAATCGGCTTCAAAGAAATGAAAAAAGGAGAACAATAATATAGGAATTTATGAATGAAATTTGAAAGTGAAATGAGTTCATAACGAAATAAAAAATGAATGAATAATGTAATGGAAGATAATTTGGTGGTGCAAAGATCAGACATGTGAAAATATAAATGAAATAGATATGAAACAATTGGCTTTTCTTGACTGTAGAAAGTCAATGATTGTTGATTGTCTGCTCCTCCCATTCATAGTTCTACCATGATGTGGAAGTGCAGACAATGCAGTTTTTCTAATTGATTTTTTTCTATTTCAGCTCAATTTTATATTGACCTTTGACTGGACCTTAATCAATCTGCAAGTCCTTACCAACCTGACCACCTCATTTGATGACCATAAGCCATGGCTTTCCCTAGTTGACCAATCAACTTTTTTAACTACTTGGCATAATTAACGTAAAGGCCCAATCTTTGACCAAAACTTTCTCCGGTTATTGGTCAGACATGGATATTGGATATTGAAGCTCTGATTATGGAATGGTGGGGGATGTGTAGCAAAACCAAAACGCGTGACTATCTAAACCATATCCTGTACAGTGACAGACTTACCATTCTTCAGAGCTTCAATCAAAGGTTAATAATTTGAAAAACTAGCTAAACGCCATTTTCCGGTACTTTCTGTACATAGCTCTCGGGAATTCAATGAAATGTTGTATAATAATGTAACGATCTGTATGTTTTTGGCCTTTTCGGGATTAAAGTGAAATAAAATGATTATTTCATTGTTAGATCTTTTTATTAATAATTCCATGAAAGAAAATGTGATTTTCTCAAATAGTGATTTTATAGCTAAACAAAATCACTGTTTGGAGTTCGGATGTGATGAATTATATCACAAGGTCATAGCCCGAGTGACATAATGATGCACATCTTAATGACAAACAATTATTTTATCAAGCGATAAAATCACTGATTTGGATAATTATTTTATCAAGCGATAAAATCACTGATTTGGATAATTATTTTATCAAGCGATAAAATCACTGATTTGGATATCTTATTTCAATTTTAACACATCAACAAATAAATGTGTAAAATTTGCGATAGATAAACGGTGAAATCTTGTGGTATGAAAATTATCATATTTCACTCGTAGCTACCACCACTCGTGAAATTTTTCATTTTCATACCACTCCATGAAAATAAATCATGTATTTATAGAAAAAACTTGAATATCGTCTATATACTTTACTCATTAGGTGTAATTCCCAAGATCTTCATATGTAAAGTACTGGAAAATGATGTGCAGCTAGGTTTTCGAAAAGGTCAATCGCTACACTTCTCCCAATGCTGCCTAGTTGTAAAACAGCACACTTCCAGATTCATATTTAAATAAAATTAATTATATGTTGCATAATTAAGTTAAATATTCAGATTTGAAGTTCAGAAAACTTTATAAAATTTACAAAGCCATAAGTAAGACTTTTATTTATTTCCTATTATGTATTAAAATATTTAGTACCTGCGTAATATTATTCTATTAATAAGTGGGTAGAATTAATATAACAATATTTTTAAATATTTGTAATAAGCTAATTTTGAATTGAATGGAAGAAGTATGCATATCTTTTTTTTTACTTTTCCTAAATTTGGATTGATTTTTGAAGAAATTAAAATATCTGGATGTGTGCAGTTTTAACTTCTAGCATGTCCCAAGCCATGGTAAAAGCAGAGGGGGAGAAATGAATCTTGTATTTGTATTATCAATGTTATTTTACATATCACTAAATTTATTTATTTATTTATTTTTTTTTGGGAGGGTGGGGGGAGGGGCGTCCGTGGCCGAGTGGTTAAGGTCGTTGACTTCAAACCACTTGCCCCTCACCGCCGTGGTTTCGAATCCCGACAGGGACTTTGGATTTTTTTTCTTGTGAGGAAGCTATCCAGCTAGCTTACGGAACGTCGGTGGTTCTACTCATGTGCCCGTTCGTGCCTGAAATAATGCACGGAAGGGCACCTGAGATCTTCCTCCACCAGTAAAGCTGGAACGTCGCGATATGCCCTATACTGTGTCGATGTGACGTAAAACCCAAAAACAAACAAACAAACAAACTAATTTTTTTTACATTTTTGATTGCATGTTCGCCATTTTCTTGATGTCTGAAGTGATAGAGAATAATTTATAGGTTGGTGCCTTGGATCTAGCGAGGCGGAGGAATTTTTTTGGTGAGCCTTTGGCCAGATAGTTTAATTAAGTTCTCCATCCATAGCACCAATCATTCTATGTATCCTGTTATCGATTTTTTTATAAAAGAGTTTCATTTAGAACAGAGTTAAATTGTGATGTGTTTTTGAAAGTTTTGGCCTGTGCGCAGTAAAAAAGTAGTTCTTATCATTCTGAAATATTTAACAAGCAAAAATGTCAAACCAGTCTTTTTTAGTGATTTTTACTTGTTTTACCGCGTAACGTCATGCGTTCTTTTTCATGACGTCATTATAGGATGTCACAGTACCAATGTTGAAATTTAGTTCCGTAAAATTTCTCGAATTTGTTACATTTTAACACAATGTATGCAGTTATTTACTTGCTTCTCCTATAGAAGCAAAATTTACGTACATGACAGAATTTATTCCTGTTGATAATTCAATTTAGTGTTGTTTTTTCATTCATCATAACAGCACATGCCTTAGATTGGTAAAATAAGAACCATAAGGAATAGAAAATTGTCAATATTTTACAAAATCTTTTAGAAATATGTAATCCGGATGATAAAAAAACATTTTAAGTGTGCTTTTTAAAAAAATTCTTATGTGCTAAATAGTTGAAATGATTCTGAGAAATCCTTAATAAAAGTAAGGAATTTTTAGGATAAAATTGTGAATTTTGGCCAGTTTTTTTTTAAATAGACCTATATTTGATCCTTACCTATATTTGGCTATTTAAAAAACTATATATAGATGCAAAAAAGTAGGAAGTATGTTAATCTTTTAAATAACAAGCCATGGTTAGTAAGTTTTAAGCTCTTGTAGTTTAATTTTAAAAATGCCTCTTATTGTATCACATACATAAGAGGAGTTCTGAGTTCAAATCTCAGTGGGAGCACTTATTTGCTGATTCATGGTTTGTAAAATTAAAACAAGGCTGTGAATTTTATGTCTATAATTATTAAAGTTATTGTTTTTATAAGTCATTGCTTTTATAAATCATTGTTTTTATTTGACATTTATTAAATCAAGGTTTTTGAAACTTGATAAGAAATTTGACAGTATGATTTTAAAAACTATATAATTTTAAAATTGTGCAACTATATTTTTTGCTGTACCTCAAATCATAATTCTCTTTTGTTCCTGAGACCAACCAAAGAGTATACAGTTGTTGATCCAGATGGTGTTCAATAGTGCCTTAGCATTACCGGTACCCAGAATGCCCTTTTCATAGAGAATGTTAATTTCCAGTTCAAGATATTGGGCAGTAGACTTCATTGGCTTATCTCCTTTTCCTAGCCTTTTAAGTGATTTTTGTTGCAACTCAGCTTATAAATGATTATTCTAAAAAATGTTTGGTGAAAACATGGTCTGTGATGTTGCACATAACTTATTGGTTCTGAATCTGAACAACATCAAATGGTTCTAATTCAAAAATTATTACCAGTCTTGATATGTCAATCTTCAGTGGAATATAATCTTTCACTGTGTTTGTTTCAATGACGTCAACACACCGACCCTTTGAAAAAGGGTTTTAAATGCTCTTAAATAGATTCTACACTTGATTTATCAATGTTTTATATACTGTCATATATAATTGCATAAAAAACTGCACATGCAGCTATACTTAAACGGAAGATCTAATAAAACCATGCTATTGTAGTATGTATTTATATGTGGGTGACTTAATAGTAAAAATAGCTGACTGTAATGATGGCTCAAGAACTTTCATTATCTCATAACTGTTAAATGACATCTCTTTTACACTTTGAAAGGCATATAGAGACGATTAATTGTGGTATTACTAAAATCAGACGGGGCGTCCATGGCTGAGTGGTTAAGGTTGTTGACTTCAAACCACTTGCCCCTCACCGCTGTGGGTTCGAATCCCAACAGGGGTTTGGATTCTTTCATGTGAGGAAGCTATCCTGCTAGCTTACGGAACATCTGTGGTTCTACTCAGGTGCCCATTTGTGTCTGAAATAATGCACGGAAGGGCACCTGAGGTCTTCCTCCACCAGTAAAGCTGGAACGTCGCCATATGACCTATAATGTGTCAGTGTGACGTAAACCCCAATTAAACAAACAGACCTAAAACCCAATTAAACAAACTAAAATCAGACATTGACATATATATGCAAGAATAGCGCCTTTGTATATCTAGCATTAACATCTCAGAAACACTTGGACTTATTAAATTCCTTGCCCTGGAGGCTAGGGTTTTAAATGCTTTCTCATGCTTCTGCAGATGTTAATGCTCGAAAAAGAAAAGTGCATTAACCTCTATTATTGCAGTTGCACAAAGGGTACAAGCCGAGTGCTAGATTAATCAGAGTACTGAAACCACTTCATGCGACAGACATGAAAAGGGAATTGTATTAATGCAATAAATCAACAGCCTGCATAATAAAGTAATCCAGACGAACATTTTGGTATATGAAATTTGCTGTTGCCTGACATAGACCAGTTACCATTCTAAAGTGGCTAGTAAAATAGGCTGATTTGCAGCACTACAGCTCAGAGTACGGGAACCTTGAACTATGTCTCAAGTATATTCCTCATGTAACAGCAAAGTTAATTATCGATAAAAATCTTATTGCGGTGACTGAAATTTTGTGTAAATTAGGATAACCAAACAGTATGTCACTTGTGTGTGCAAAATAATATGAGCCGCGTCACGACAAAGCCAACATAGTGCGTTTGCGACCAGCATGGATCCAGACCAGCCTGCGCATCCTCGCAAAGTAAAGAAACTGATAGCGAACAACATGGATCCTGATCAGACTGCGCGGATGCGCAGGCTGGTCTGGATCCATGCTGGTCGCAAACGCACTATGTTGGTATTGTCGTGATGCGGCTCATATTATATATCATATCGAAATTGTTTCATTATCGCTTTAGCTGCATTTTACAATTAAATTTTAACATTTGATCACATTTTTTTTGTTCTACATGTATCTATATATTTATACAAATCAAGAATGAGACATGTACTTATTTAAGACAGCAATTGCAAGCTACCGTCCACACACCCTATAGTCCATACTAGTACCGGCTAAAGCAGTATTCAACATTTAAACATAAAACTTGTGAAATATCCGCAGAAGAATAATCCACTGTGTGTTCCCAAGTAAAAGAATGAATGCGACCTAAATGAATAAACAAAAAAAGATCATGTTGCATCTGCATAAGAAATGTGAATCAGCCAATGTCACAAGCTCATAATATATGGCAGAACAAAAACTGGTTTTGGTCTGAGATACTTATTGTATACTATTTCCAGTTTTCGTGCGACAGGTTCCTAAAACTGGAAAATACTCTAGGAATATGAATGGAGAAATGTTGAGACAATGTTTCATGAAAGCAATAAAAATAATACATGTAGATAAAATTAATGAAGTCTGTCTTGTACCATATAGATGGATCAGGATAAGTTCAATGTTTATATATCTTTAAAGGTGAATATTAAAAAGGAGATAATTATATCTAACGCTCATTCTCAATAAAACACAGCATTTGATGTTCCACTGGGTAGCTCTTATAGGAAGGTTTTTCTTGAGGTCACAATGTCGTGGTGGCTGCCACTTTGTCTAATAGGGACTCTCTCAGTTTTACATTTTTATCTGGTATTTTTCTTTAACAAGTACCATTAATGCCCTGAAATGTAACATACGTTACTGTCGCCACCTAGAATTTTCAACTTTGAAATTGTGTTTCAGAAAAATAAGTTCCAGAATACACGAAACATGTACAATTAGTCATTGCTGCGTGCATATGCACTTTGGTTATTAGTAAAAATTATATTCGACTGTTAAAACTTCATTGATATATTGGATGATCAAATGTCGCCAAATGCATATAAATAAATAGTGACAAACCTAAAACAATTAGAAGCCAAACAGAAATTACATAATTGAATCGATGCATGCTTAATAATACAGCATGTATATAATTATAAGCAAAAATAAGCTTGCAGCCTCTCAAATATCATTCTGTTTTCGGAAATTTTCATTTTTTATTCAAATCTTTTCAACAGCATTTTAAAAAGAAACATACGTTACCATTGTTTAAGAGCTGATCCATTCAAGGAAGACTCCAAATAAGAAAGAAAATGAACATGTGTGTAACTTTAATATATTAACC